ATTATAATTATTACTCGTGCTAACTTTGTAATTGGCCACTGTGCTGTTAAGTTATTGCACGTAAATAAACATGAATTTAATTATTATTTAGCAGGCCCAAAGCTCTCCAAGAATCACAAGTCCAAGAAAAATGGGATTTTGTTAGAGTAAATATGCATCTCAAATGCCTATAGCAACTGCTTTGCCCAAAACACCAAGTTATAAAACGTTTGTTTGGAATGCTTTCCACTGCTATTAATATTTAACATAACACGGAGAAAATAACATCTTGACATTGCGTCTTGGTAGTTCTGCAATAAAATATTTTGTATCTGCAAAAAATTGACTAAAGGACCAATGAAGTATACATAACAGCAAGGAATGTGATTCTAAGAGATGTATAACCCTCCATCGGAACAACAGAAATAAAGGGATTGTGACTCGTATTTGAGAACAGGGTGTTGAGGAGAATATTTGGACCGAAGAGAGATGAAGTGACAGGAGGTTGGAGAAAACTGCAAAATGAGGAGCTTCATAACTTTTACTCTTCTCCAGGTGTAATTAGAATGAGCAAGCCAAGGAGGATGAGGTAGGAAGGGCATGTAGCACGAATGGGAATAAGAGGAATGCATATAGGATATTGGTGGGAAAGCCAGAAGGAAAGAGATCACTGGGAAGACCAAGGTGTAGGTGGGTCGACTATATTAAAATGAATCTTAGAGAGATAGGATGGGATGGTAAGGATTGGATTGATATGGCTCAGAATAGGGACCAGTGGAGGGCTCTTGTGAACACGGTAATGAACCTCCGGGTTCCATAAAATGCTAGGAAATTCTTGATTAGCTGCAGAGTTGGCTTCTCCTCAAGAAGGACTCAGCTCCATAAGTGACTAAGTAAGCGAGTAAGTAAGTAAGTGACTCACCTGTAACTTCAATACTCGCCCCATGGGATCACGGGTCCACCTTCAGTGACACCGGATGTGACTGTCCAGGTTTCAGTGTTCTCTCCGTAACATCTCTGGAGCCATATGGTACATTTCGTGCCAGAGCCAAGGGATCTTCCAGAAGAAGACCAGGCGATCCTAAATGTGTCGTGTCCTGAACTGTGAAGGACACTGAAGGGACGATGGATACTTGCAGAAGCGAGGAACTTGTCGAATCTTCAAGACTGGTGTCTCGAAATGAACTCGTGGCTCTGTCACGCAGTGGCGAAAACTGACGTGTTGCCGTGTAGGATTCAAAATCTTTTGAAAGTGGAGATGAAGGATCGTAAGATTGTCCGTGACGCTTTTTGCTGCTAACAGGAGGTACGAACTGACGACCGTCAAGTCGTCTTTCGTACGGCAATAGAGACGCAATTTCGGTGCCAAAAACCCCTTCAATAATCGGTTCTACAGGACTATTATGGCCTTCATTTGTAGGGATACAAGATGGACCTCTAATGTCGTGATATCCTTCGTTACGTGGTGTTGACGAATGTGACTGAAGACCATAATATCCTGTGTTATCTGATGAGGATGATGGAAAAGGGTCATAATGTTCTCCTACATTTGGTGGTGGAGATGGAGGCTGAGGGCCATAATTTTCTCTTATATTTGTTGGTGGAGATGGAGGCTGAGGGCCATAATTTTCTCTTATATTTGGTGGTGGAGATGGAGGCTGAGGGCCACAATTTTCTCTTACATTTGTTGGTGGAGATGGAGGCTGAGAGCCATAATTTTCTCTTATATTTGGTGATGGAGATGGAGGCTGAGGGCCAAAATTTTCTCTTATATTTGTTGGTGGAGATGGAGGCGGAGGACTATAATTTTGTCTTACATTTGTTGGTGGAGATGGAGGCTGAGGGCCATAATTTTCTCTTATATTTGGTGGTGGAGATGGAGGCTGAGGGCCAAAATTTCCTATGATATTTGTTGGTGGAGATGGAGGCGGAGGACCATAATTTTCTCTTATATTTGTTGGTGGAGATGGAGGCTGAGGGCCATAATTTTCTCTTATATTTGGTGGTGGAGATGGAGGCTGAGGGCCATACTTTCCTCTGATATTTGTTGGTGGAGATGGAGGCTGTGGGCCATAATTTTCTCTTACATTTGTTGGTGGAGATTGAGGCTGTGGGCCAAAATTTTCTTTAATATTTTGTGGAGGGGGTGGAGGCTGAAGATCAAAATATTCTTTGATTTTCAATGTTGGAGAAGGTGATTGTGAGCCGTAGTATTCTCTGGTGTTTTGAAAATTAGAATATAGCTGAATATTATAACGTTCTTTAAGAATTGGGGGTGGAGGTGGAGGTTGAAGGCCATAATATTCTTGGACACATGAAGGTGGAGGACTATAATACTCTTTGATATTTTGCAGTTGAGATGGAGGTTGAGGGCCAAAGTATGATCTCATGTTCGGTGTTGGTGATGGGGCCTGAGGGCTGTAATATCCTTTGTTATTTGTTTGTGGAGGAGGAAGTTGATTCCCATAATATTCTTTTATGTTTGGTGGAGAGTGTGGGGTTTGAAGGCCTTGATATCCTTTGTTACTGAATGGCTGAGATGGGCAAGGAGAACATTTAAATCCTGTATTAATTCTTTGTTTACGTGGAGGGTTTTGAAATCCTTTGTTCGCTGATGACTCAGATGGAAGTTGAGGACGATAAAATGCTTTGTTTCGCGGTGCCGAAAATGGAGGTTGAGGGCCTTGATATTCTTTCTTTTTTGATGATGCTGATAACGGTTGACGATGATAGTATCCTTTCATATTTTGTGACAGATTTGGAGATTGAAGACCAAAGAACATATCATTATGTGGAGTTTGATAGTTATAATATCCATTGTGGTCTGCTGGAGTGTCTGAGTGCTGGGAGCTCATGTGAAAACGCGAAAAGTAGCCAGGAGTATTACAAGTATTAACTTTGTTTTCTGCATTGGAGAGAAGATTGTTAAACTTTGATGATGACGTACTTTCCGGTTGAAATTGATAATATTGTATGTTATAAAGATGTGGTGGTGGAGGCAGAAGACCATAAGAAAGTAGTATTCTGTTTTCAGTTGGTAATGGAAATTGAGGGTTAAAATAGTGGTACTCTTCGAGGGATGTGAATGCAGAAGGTATGTTATACAGAGGTACAATAGCGGTGTTCCTCTTACCACGCCATGGAGTTGGATCAACATCCGTCATGGACCAACTGCCCCATGTCTGTCCCGTCACACTCGCTCTCAGAGCAGAAGGTTGGATGTCCTGACCACGACGAGGAAGCAATGAAGTGTGCTGTGGGAAGAAGGACGAGTTCGGAAGCCAAGCGTGTCCTGATCTGTTGTTCCGGTTCCTCCCTTCAACCGAATCCTGTTCTGAAGAATGGCTGTTAAAATTCTTGAACAATAACGAACTATTGTCAGCTGTTCGTACAACAATTGCTGATTCGTTCTTGTTTCTTGTCGAGTCAATTTTTGTAGACTCTTGGCTTAGTATATAATGACACAGAACTGATAAAACAACAACAAAATTTGAAAACTTTACTAATATCGCCATTGTTTAAAAATTTATATATATATATATATATATATATACGCAAGAAAATATGAAATTTTCAGTGTTGCAGCTGTAATATGCAGTCTTTTTTTAGTTTTACCAATATGGAGCCGATAGACTGCTTAGACGCAGTTCTCTTCAAAGTCAGCAAAAGACTGAACACAATTTCACACACTCACATGAACGGTAAAATGTGAGGGCACTGGAACATTAATAATTTCTCTTCATATGTCCCGCCCATTTTCGCCATAGTGGGAGGTGTTGTTAAAAGGTCCCACCAACACCCATTAAATAAATAATCAACGATATGGGGCAACAAACTCTTACCCAATCTATGTTTCTGCTTTCATCTTTGCTACTTTCTTTACTTATCTTCTTTTAATATTATTTCTTTTTCATCTTGTTGTGTAAGAGATACAATGAGCAATATGAAACCCCTCCTACGTTGTTTATGTGTATAGCAGACTTTACATGATTACTGTAATTTTCGCCCCCCCCCCCTTATTTAATATTAAGATAAAATCAAAATTTATGGATATTTCATAAACGGTTTAACTTACAAAGTACTGGCACATATCATAAAGACCTAAATCACTTGTTTTAGAATATTTTTCATATGAACAATATACAATGGAATTGACGAGAAAATAATTTTCATCTATATGCAATGTGATTCTTTTGGTAAACGAAAAAAAAAGAGTAAAAGTAAAGGTATCCTTGTAACAGGCCATGGAGGCCCATAGGATTGTGACATGTTGAGGTTCCCACATTTTCTAGACAATCGGCTCATAGATGGCGGCAAGGGTGTCAGCCCTACGCGCCGGCCGCCCTTTACCCCCAAGAATTAATTCTTCCAGGCGCACTATGGCCCTGGGGTCGACTCAGACTCTAAGAGAATTGAGTACCAGGAATCTTCCTGAGAGTAAAGGACGGCCGGCGGGTAAGGCTGACAACTTCACCGCCATCTGTGAGACGATTATCTAGAGAATTGGTAGCCTCGACGTCTCAGAACCCTATGGGCCTCCACGGCCTGTTACAGGGATACCTTTACCTTATATTTTTATATACATAAATAAGACAAATTTTATGATCAGAAAATAATGATACTCATCATAGGAGTGAGAAGTTCCTGACGTCTTGACAGACGAATTAAAATAATTGTAGACACAATTCTATACTTACCCTTTGCGAAGATATATTTTGCCAGTGGAGCTTCAAGACATGTTTAATACGGAGATGCGTATTCCCTAGTAGGCTCTATTGTAAAGAGAAATATTTCCACCAGGCTTACATATGCACCACAAATGATCAAATTATCTAGCTGATGAGTGTGATTGAAATTATCAGGACGCATATGCGGATAGGTTTTCTCAAACATACGTGATCTTGCGTTATTCACAGAGATACGATACACAGAGATACTCGTATGAGTCTAAGCAGATGTGTAGGCATATCGCCGTCAAATTACGTAGACTTATCAAGTGTTCACTTAGATTATCCCGTTTCTTTCATATTAGAGCTACTTACAAGGGCCCTACTGAGCTTGTCTATGTGGGCGTATGTTTTGAAAAGGAAAGATAGATTCAAAATCTTCATGAACAAAGTCATATCACTTGATAAATAATAACGACACACCGCATATTCACATCGTAACATTATCAGTACTACAAAAGTAGACACGATACACTGAAACAGAAGACTGCTCTCTCGTTCGTGACTTACTACATAATTTATGTTGAAAAGGAAGGTAAAGCTATTCCTGCAGCAGGCGGTGGAGGCCCATAGGTTTCTGAGACGTCGAGGCTCCCACATTTTCTAGACAATCGGTTCATAAACGGCGGTGAGATTTTTCAGCCTTGCGCGCCGGTCGCCCTTTACCCTCAGGAAGATTTGTGGTACTCATTTCTGTTAGAGGCTGAGCTCAGTAAAAGTATGAAATTAACTGTATGACTAAGCGCCACAACATGAAACTACTCGTACATGGGGAGAGGAATTGAGGTACAGCTCCATATATTTTTAGAGTGGCGACTTATGGGGCCCAATATTCATATTAACGCTTCGGTACCAAGCAGCCTGTTTCAGGTCATAAGGGTTCGAATCTCAACCAGGACACAAGCTATCCTGACTGAAGTCTTTCATTGGTTTCTTCAGTCCCTCCAGGAAAATGCTGGGATATTACCTCAAATCAGTGCTCAGAAGTTTCAGCCCACAGTCTTTCTAAATCAGTATTCACTAGCTCAGTCGGTTTAACGTCGAGTTCCGGACGGCATGGGATCGATTTTCAACAGGGCTAAGAGATTTTCTCTTCTCCACAGCTTCTAGACCAGCTCTGGGGCCCACCCAGACTCGTATTGCGTGGATATCGGAGGCTATTTTCCAGGAGATAAAGCTTCTACTTCCCCATAAGTATTTATGATTTGATGCTTAATAAATTACGCACAGGACACCTTCGCTTTTACTTCACTTACTAATCCCCTTAGCATTCGGCGTCGTGAACTCTGAGCTAGAGGCAGAGTCGTTAAATAAACAAAATAATCAAAGCTCCTCCGGTCTAGGAAACCGAGATTAAGGGCCGTGGGGATTCGTTGCACTGACCACGTGACACCTTCTACCGGCTAAAGTTGACACTAATTGCGCCGACAAGCGGCGGTCACTCGGTCGGCATAGTTCGCTTGCGGACTAAAGACACGGAGTTTTTAAAACAAATCTTCTGCTTAGACACTCCCTGAAGAAAGATCCTCCTGTAAAGGATAAAGTCTTTCATGTGCTTAACTAATTAAGCACCACGCTACGAAGGCGTATGTAAGAGTGGATGTATTATTGACCTCAGCACTAATTGTAGGTGAGTGGTCAGCTTCACACTCCTGGCAAATTTACCCCCTGATAATAGCCCCCGGTACCCATTGTACAGGAGGTTGAGTGGACCCCACAGCCGGTCTGGACGACGCGGAGAAAAGAAAATTTTTGACTCAACCGGGACTTGAACTTCGAACTTTCCGTCGTCCAGCCCGTAGCCAGTCGCTACACCGACTGCGCTATCCCGATACTAACTGCATACAAACCTAGATGCAGACATATTTTGATTGGGATTGGGGAAAAACGAAACAGAATTATCCGTACTCACGCCAGAAAACTGAGAAAAAGTTGTCACTGTGCCTAGTTGAGCACCAGGCAATGAAGAATTATGGGGAGTGGTGGTACAGCTCCACACATTCTTAACCACTGTCCTAGATCGAGTCGAGTGATCAGGTTCACACTCCGGCCGCTTTAGTCAGGAAAGTGTCATCTGCACCGCGTGGGCTCCAGAAGACAGCTAACACTCAGTAGTTAAAGTAAATCAAAGCGTCAGTATATTAAAGTGGGGTTGGTGCAATTTACGTTTGCTACTCCATTGTTTGTTTTCCGTCACGATATTTTTTAAGTCGATGTAAGAGAGGCTTTTTATTGGAACGCGATTTTCACTTTAGCAAACAAACCACGAGTGTCTTTATACAGAAACAATATTAACACATTAAGTGGCTGATGTCACCTGTGTCCAGTTCAACAGGGCGTAACAAAAATCGGTTCTCACGCCAAAGAGAGTGGCACAGTGCCAGTTTGCCGGGGCTCTCCATAAGCGGGATGGGAATGACTTTCCGTCTGTCCGTCCGTTCCATTAATATTTGGAATTTATACCAAAAATTCGTCTGGTGAATTTGACTCATATTGAAGAAAGCAGTCTTCTGGGATTTGGCACCGTGTATATGTGGTGTTAACCGACGTTTCGGAGGAACGTATCGCCTCCATCTTCAGGGTAGAAGAAAAATATAAGAAATCCGCAAGCGAAGAGACCGTGAGAACCGGTAAAAGCAGTCTGCGATAGATGGAGGCGATACGTTCCTCCGAAACGTCGGTTAACACCACATATACACGGTGCCAAATCCCAGAATACTGCTTTCTTCATAATCACCGCCGTGAAAGCCTCAAATCTTACATTGATTCATATTCTTGGAATAAGAGAAATGTTTTAAAAAAACACAGTTTCATGACCCGAAACCCATGAGCTAATCATTTCAGACTAAAGTCTGTAGGAATATGAAAATGGAGGAAACATGTTTCTTCAAGATATCGGTAAAAATATACCGAAATAAACGGCGATACAATTACTTCCTCTATGCATAAAGACAGTGCATTTTTCCATAACGTCAGCGTATTGCTACCTGGCTGTAAGGTGTCACATCTCAGAATATAATTCTTTTCCTAGTCACAGGTGTGAGAACAACAGCTCCTTTATATTTGTTCTTTGTCTCGTCTTTGTTCCATTCTCTGGCACTTCAGCACATTATCAAGTCCCTACCTTTAATATTAGCAAGACATTCTCGTTTCATTCTCTTCAAATGTTAATTTACTTGCCCGAATAAAATGCAACGTCACGTATGTTGATATGACATTTCTTTTTCTTCATGTCTCTACATTAGCAGATACAATTTACCAGAGGCGCACCTATGATAAATAACAGAAGATAAGCCACTTGATGGTATATTCATCTTTTAAGTGTTTGGAGAAAGCGAGTAAGTGACTAAATACAGTGCTTCGTAACACAAGATATTTACGATGTAATGACTCCAGCAAAACAGGAATTTCGGCAGGTTGCACCCCTTTACCAGAGGCAAAAGCTATTCCCATAGGCTATAAACTGGTTCTCTCCACAGTTGATTGCAAAATTAATGATTCCCTGCGCCATGCATTAACTTTTCAACACGTCCAGATAATGACTTTTTGAATTATGACACTGTGAATTCTGATAGGTGGTTAC